AGAAAGTGGATTTATCAAAAACGCTCCCTTAAATATAAGTGCATAAGTGTAACAACCCTGACCTATGATTAGCCGATAAACCATGATTAATTATGCTTAATGAGTAGTTAAGATGAAATTCTGAATTAATTGCATGTTTATGACATTAACTGTGTTTATATCTATCTGTTGTAGAAATATCTGTTTGTATTTCTGTTTTGTTCCATGAATTGAAAGCCTTATCAACATCCAATCACGAAATTGACCTGATATTTGTGTTATTTGGAATTTTTGAAAATTATGGTAGGCTCAATTGAAATTTGATTCAGAACGAATTAATTATGACAAAATGATCCCACTTAGTTATCTTAAACTCAAGTTAATTAAGCTTCATTAGTTGAGCCTATATAAGGCCTATACACCACTTAGACTCATATTTTCTTCACTTTCTTGAGCTCTTACACGTGAGAGAGAGGAAGAGAATGAAGGAATTGAAATCAAAGAGGAGGAAAGAAAGAATTGATGAGATTTGAAGACAATTTGGAAGCTTACACTTACCATCAACCTTAGGTAAGGATTCAACTCACATTTTATAACCTCAAGCTCATTTACATGTGAAATCAAAGAGTATTAAAGTGTTTAAGTTGAGAATTGAACTAGAAATGAAGGAATTTGACTCATACATGTCTTGCATGCATAATTCACTAAGATTTGTAAGTTGGTTCTCAAGAATTTCCACATGCATGTCCATATATCATGGGTTTGTTCAAGGAATTCAACATGTTTTTGACCCAAACATCTCATTTGATCATGATTTGGAAACTTGGAGCTCAAATCATTTCATGCATGTCATGTTCATGTTATGTTTTTACATTTCAAGCTTGAGTTTGTACAATTGACATGCTTATGGGCCTTGATTTCATGAAATGATCTTTAATTCTCTATGTTTTGCAAGTTTAGACAAGTTTTCTCAAGTTTTGGGGCCCAAAGGTTGATTTTGAAGGTTTTGAATTCGAGTTTTGAGCTTGGGAGTGCAATATGAAAATTCTAGATTCTGCCTCTCCGCTCGAGCGATAGATCCTGTGCTCGAGCGACCACCTTTATTTTTGCACCTCTGCTTGAGCGACCGAAAGTTAGCTCTAGCGTAAATTGCATGCTCCCAGAAGTTTTCAATTTTTGCAAATCACTTGAGCAACAAGAGTTGCGCTCGAGCGAAGACCTCAATCTCACGCTTAAGCGACCGTCGAATGTGCATCAAGCGAAAAAATCACACAACAAGTACTTTTACAAAGTTTGTAGACCACTCGAGTGAAGAAAGTTGCGCTCGAGCGACCACTCTCAACTTTAGGCGTTCACTCGAGCGAAGAAAGTTACGCTCGAGCAAAGCCCCTATTTTTAACATATTTGACCAAGTGTTTTGAAACTTATTTTGGCATCCTCATTGCATCCTAGGCATTCCTAGGCCAGAAATAAGATACAATAATGAGGATAAAGATGTAGAAACACATTAAGAGCGAATCGCAATAAATTAAGCACTATCCGAGTGTGTATGTCAATTTGTGTATCTGTTATGTTTGTGTAGGTCACGCGCCACAACCTATCTGATTTTTCTGCTCTGTCTGTCTGCTTTCGGAGCCATCTATGAGTAATAACTCTGTAAAGTTATGTTTGACTTTAATTATTTTATGATGATATGAAATGATCAGTTTTCTAAAATGTTATGTTTTATATGAATGAATGATTGTCCAAGTTTCTGAAATGTATTTGTGGCATCCTTAGCATCATATGATATGCGTCCCTTTATAGTCATCGAAATGCCATTATGGTCGTCCCTTTATGGGTCATCAAAAATGTCTCTGTGCACATGAGTCATCGGAATGCCTTATCGTTGTCCCTTTATAGGTCATCGGAATGCCTTCGCGGCCGTCCTTCATGGGTCATCGGATTTGTTAACGCTAATGGATGTATCACGTACTATCATTTAAAATGTAAGAACTTTGGATATAAATATGATTATGTGTACGAATTTGTTTCTGCTTTGACATCTGATTAAGTACAAGACTCTGTTTCTGTATAGACATCATTCATTAAAGCCTTTACTCTGTTATTATTCACTGGGCTTCTGCTCACTATTTATATTATATATGTAGGTGATCAAGCGCGTGACCAGGCTCAATGATGATCGCCTGAAGCTTGTTTTGTCGACCAACCCTTGCGTCTCCTGAGGAGGTTCCGAAAGTCATGTGGTCATGTTTTGTGAATGTATAAGACTTGGTTTCTTTTAGTATACGAACAAGTTTTCTGTTTATTTGTACTTTGTCTTAAGTCCCACTTTTGTTTTATCTGTATCAGTGGGTGACATAAGACTACTGTATTATGACGTCACTTGCATGTATATGAAAGTTTTGCAATTCTGTCCCATGTATGTCAGCACAACTCAATGGACTATGAATGTTTTTATATATTTGCTTCTGTAACCCCTTATTATGTCATAATCTATTCAGAGGCCTTTGGTAATCCAAAGATTACTGGCCGGTTACGATGCTAAACCTATAGGGGCGGGTTAGGGTCGTGACAATAAGAGTTTAAGAAAATAGTGTAAATTAAGAAAAAGGACTTTATGGAATAAAAGTATACATTCATGGGACTAAGTGGGTTAAAAAATTTCTTCATAGACTTCTTGGGTTAGAACACTTCTAAATGAGATTTATCAATAAAAACCCTTATTTTAATTTCTCATCTTTTAATTGTAACAATTAAATTCTCACACTTTAACTCTTAGTTCATTGTGATCCTTCCATTACTCACTGTTACAAAAATGAATTAAAAATGCTCCTGTCAGATCATCTTGAACCCAACACTTTTTCTTTTATCAAATTTAAGGCCTCATTTGGCAAGTGGTGATTTTAGCTAAAAAGTCATTAAAAAAGCAAAAAAAAAAAAAAAAAACAAAACAAAAAGCCAACAACCTATACTAAAAAGTCAAAGATTCCATTTTCTCTCTACTCTTTGCACATCTTTTCGTAAAAAATTAAAAAGTCATCCCAAACATACTATTTTTTTACATCATACTTTAGTTAAAAAGTTACTAAAAAAGCCTGTTCCCAAATAAGGCCTTTGATGAAAAACTAATGAAATTCCTTCTCCAACGTTGTCATTAGTTTGATATCAAATTGAGGATGGCTAAAACTTTTTCATCAAATTGAGGATGAGTGAAACCTTTCATCAAATTATTGTAAATAGCCGTTAGTGTAGGAGTACTGAACGACCGGTCAGTTGTCCCCCCGGGCATCCACTTTTTTACAATTTACACTAGCCGGTCGGCCGGCTAGATATCCACCAGATCGATTGAAAGATCGAAATCCTCCGTTAGAGCATGCGATATCAAATAAAATTTTTACTCAAATTTGGTAGAAAACAAAAATATAACGTTGGAGATGTTCTAGAGGGCATTTGAGGACATATTAGGGGCATTAGAGGAAAGAATTTGAATGATAAATTACACTTTTTACACTTAAATTTTCCATCAAATTTTACTTTAATCCCTTGTGTCTCAATTTTTATTCAAATTTTGAACAAGGTGACAGATGGTCCATATGAAAATACGGGAAGAAATTTACAGAATTAATTGCTATATTAACTAATATAAAATTTTGATGAAAGTTCAAAGGTGAAACTTGTAATTTATCTAAAAATCAAAAATCAAAATAAAAATTAGTGGCAACACATTGAAATTATATATACCAAACACATTTGTTGTAGTAAAAACCTTAAAATATGGGTCCAGCTCCTCAGCCCATAAATAGATTGGACGGTGTTGTTGGGTCATGGTGGGTTCGATTTCGGACTCATCTTGATAAATCAAATCGTTCAATGTGTAGAATTTATCGAGTACATCATTTCTAAAAAAAAATCACATCAATCGAGTACATCATTCTTGCATTCATGTTAGCGATTTATTTAGAAAATCATAATTGCCGTTAAAACAAATAAAAACTGATCAAATAACTATCGATATCCGATCAACGTAATTTTTTATAAGAATGATTTACTTGACGAACTCTACACATTAACAGTTTGGACCATTGATATGGGCTTAGAATCAAGCCCACACACAGCTAAACAATACTATTTAATTTGATTTCAAATTAGAGAGAAGCTATGGCCTTAAAATATCTAATGATAGGCATAAATTTTCGTACAAGTCATTAGCAGCATCTAATATAAAATATTACAAAAGAAAAATATGTTCATCAATTTTGTCTAGGGTTTTTTTTTTAATGACTAATATTTTTTTAGTCGGCAAAAGTTATTCGTAACTAATTTTTTTGGTCACCAATTGAGGGTCGGAAAAAGTAATTAGCGACTAAAAATTTTTTTAGTCGGGAAAAAATTATATTTGCCGATTAAATTTTTAGTCACTGAATGTTATATTACCACGACTAAACTATTTTGTTACTAAAACACTTTAGTCACCAAAACTGATACTTTCTCAACTAAATATGTTAGTCGCCAATTGTCACATTTCCCTACCAAAAGTGTTGGTCGCCAAAAGTAATGTTTGCGCGACTAAAACTTTAGTAGACAAAAGACCTATTCGCGACCAAACACTTTGGTTGCCAAAATTAATAATTTTGCCGACTAATTATTTAGTCACCAAATGTACCCTTTCGCCTACCAACATTTTGGTCACCAAATGTGAATAGTAAAACACCGACTAATCACTTGGTCGCCAAAAGAGGAAAAACCAAACCAAATTTTAGTCACAAATTCAATTCTTTTTGTTTATGAAAATAGAAATAAAATATAAAAAGAATCTCATTTGACCTGTATGATATATAATAATCCATCTAAACCATTCAATATAACCTGTAATTTGCAAGAATCATTCAAACCAACAAAATCAACTAAATCATGAACATCCAACAAAATACATAAATCAGGCAATACTTAACCTGTTTAATTAAAATAATCAATTATTATAAATTTTCATCCACAAGTAATTCTAAACTACATAATCATCCAATTAAAAAGGTCATGTCATATATATAATCATCCAATTCACATCCATTTCGTATAAAAATTTAAAACATAACAAGTATTTGTTATTATGTTTTAAATTTTTATCCATATGCATCTATCCAAAAATATAACTAGTAATCTATCCAAATACTTTCCATACACATCTATCCAAAAATATATAATCCTTCAAAAATGTAACAAATGCCAAATAGTCCTGTACAATTTAGCTTCGTGCACGAGTTCATCCATCTGTACAAAAGAAAAACAAAAATAATGTCAGATAATTTTTTTATGAAAATATTTGCACATCACTTGGATTGTAAAATTGGAAAAAAATTCAAAAAGGTCCATGAAAAGTAAAGATAACATGAACAAATTAAAGGACTATCAATACCATTTTGTAAATAAAACAACATTCATATGTATACATTCAATCAACATTAAAATTTTATCAAGATCAATGTACCACACTCAACAAAAATTCACAAGTAATAGATGTATGACCCGTAGATTAAGTTCTGTCAATATAATAATTGTAACAATTGAAATAGATGTTATCAATCAATGCTTGCATTTGGATTTTATACCTTATATTCCAATAACTAGACAACATAAGTGAATATTTGATCTAGCAAGTTAGCTACTATGACCAGCAGGTTACAGTACTTATGATATTTAAATCTCTAACCGTGCGTCCTATTAATGTGTCGCTTCCTCTCACAAGTTTGTTTAATCTAGGCCGAGGTGACCGTTATGATCTCGATGTTGTTTGGGGGTTGTTTTCAATTTTCGCCTCGAAATAGCCCGATTTTGCCTTTTTCTCACATTTTCTTGTGTAAATCTCTAACCATGCGTCCTATCAACGCGCTGCTTGCTCTCACAAGTTTGTTTAATCTACACCAAGGAGACCATTATGATCTCGGGATTGTTGGGAGCTGTTTCCAATTTTCGCCCCTAAACAGCCCGTTTTTGCCTTTTTCTCTCATATTTTTATGTCCAAATCTCTAACCATGTGTCTTATCAACGCCCCGCTTACTCTCACAAGTTTGTTTAATTTAGTCCAAGATGACCGTGATGATCTTAGGGCTATTTGGGGGCTATTTCCAATTTTTGCCCCCCAAATGCCATCCTTCAAAATAAAGAACAAACCAAACTAGAAATGATCAAACCAATCTTAAGAATGCTATGATGTCAAGCAAATGCACCCCTAAACAAAAACAACTAATTTCAGAGCTGCAGTGCTTGTAATTTGAAGGATTATAATATCGTATCAAAAAATTACGAATAACGATATGTGGATTTTCTTGTATCTTTTACTTGTCTCTTTGCTTTCAAAATCAACAAAAATATTGCCATTATTTTCTAGACTTCTAAAAAATAAAGACATAAAGAGTGGCTCAAATTTCTTTTGACCAGAAAATTTCTAGAGCGGGAAAGCTCAGAAATATTCTCGCTAGTATAGAAATCTTCAACTTTGTAACTTCTAGGTGTTTTCGTATCTTTGACGGTCATTAGATGATTAGAATTTGCTTCATTGCAAATAATGATATAAGTAACACAGATTAATGACAATCATCAGTTGAATTCAAAATATCACCCTCTTTGCTCAATTGTTGCTCTGATATTAAGATGACTAGAAAATTATACTAAGGCCAAGTTTGGCATGTCCCCAAAAAGTCAAAAAGTTACTCAAAAAGTTACTCAAAAAGTTATCACTATTCACCAAAAAAAAATATTAAAAAATTAATTTTCTACACAATTACAACTCGGAATCTGACATGTTCAGCTTTATTGATGTGTTTGTGTGTGAAAATTGCACAGTTTGGGTGCAATTTTCACACACTGCTGTTTGGCCCGTGGGGGCCATCACAAGTCCTGTTTTGATAATCTGAACTGTTCAATGTGTAAAACTTGTCGAGTACTATATGTCTGTAAAAAATCACATTGATCGGATATCGATAACTACATGATCAAATCAGTTTTGTATAAAAAAAAATGGATGGTGTTATAATTAACGATGGAAAAAAAAACAAATCTGATCAGATAACTATCGATATCCAATCAACTTGATTTTTTATAGGCATATAGTACTCGACGAGTTCTGCACATTGAACAGTTTAGATTATCAAAATAGGACCCGTGATGGCCCCTACGGGCCGAACAAAACTATCTAGTGCAATGCCCATTTAGTAGCCAATCATTACTTTGCATCAATTCCACTCCTAGAAAGTACGGCTGCACAACTCCCAATCTTAATATTCCCCTACGCACTTATTTATACAATTTTTTAATACACATTTTTTCATAAAAAGTCAAAAAGTCAACCCAAACATTCATATTTTTTTCCTCAATTTTTTAGTCTTAAAAGACAAAAAATGTACTTATTTAGGACATCCAAACAACCCCTTCATTTTAGCATGAAAACAAATTAAACACTTGTTACTTTAAAATTTCCATGTCCACCCATTTTCAGTCAACACCTTGGCATTCTCTATGATTATTCCAAGGTTGTTGATTGAATCCAAAAGTTAGTAATTATTCTATATTTATTCTAGAAAAATTCTCAATCATGATTGTAGTATGATTCTACAAAATTTAAGATCCTAATGTGATCCGAATTGTTTGGCTCAATTGGGGTTATGCAATTTAAGATCCTAGTGAGATCCGGGTTTTTGGCCCAATTGGCGTTATACAATTGTAAGATCCTACAATCCGCATTGTGATTATGATAACCAAACCCTACTAACATGCCATTCAAGATAAATTAATTTTGACTACTTTTTTCATAGACTTTGAAGATAAAACACGCTAGGCATGGCATCTAATAAGTAGTAGCATCAAACATCCCATTTTCATGATTTTATTTTAAATTACCTAATATTGAAAATAAAATACATACATGGAACATCACAAAATTCCTCATCTAAGAACAAAATAACAAAAAAAAAAAAATGCTTTTAAAATTAAGAACACCGTAAACGTGTTTACTTTAGAAAATCATACCCTCTAATTTTTACCGCAAAATCAAAGAGATGAGATGAGAGGATTGAGTTTTACCCAAAAAATTGAGAAGTCCTCAAAGTGAAGTAGACTTCAAGAGAGCTACTTCTTCAATGGTCACAGAAGCACCAAGAGGGGCATCTGGGTTTTAAGTGTACAAGTGAGGAAAGCCTAAACCCTTTCAATGGAACCAAATGGAGTGTAAATATTTGTTGAAAGAAAATGTTTAGAATCTATTGTATAGCTTAAAAAGTGTTACAATGACACCATGAATTTTGAACTCATTTATCAAAGATAAATAGAATCTGTTGATAAATATCAAAAGACAAAAAGAGAGAGTGAAAAAGTGATCCCAATTGAGAACTATATGAGTAGAATGGTTAAAAACAAATAACAAAACATTCTATAAAGTCTAAAGAGTTTTAGGGAGAGGTAAAGAGGACAAAATCCAAACAAGAAAGCATAAAGTTTGAATCTCTTTCAAATCCTAAGCATATGTCAAGCTATGATGATGAAATAAATAAGATAAAGACATAATTCTCCGATATTCCTGGTTTGACAAACTAAATTATAATTCAATATTTTGGTGCAGAGTAGTGATCCCAAATATTTCGGTTCGCAAGGAGGTGGAGAAAGATTTAGTACTTGTGGATCAACCTTAAGTTGCCCAACTACTAGAGATCCTATGGCATGCCAAGAAGACGAAGACGAAGACGAAGACGAAGACAAAGATGAATCAATCTTGCAAAATAGTCATTATAATGGTTGATTGGTGTTGCTTATGATGGTATGGTATATTATTAACTCTAGCTGCCTTGGCTTTCTATAGTAATTCTTATCATTTTCTAACTCTCTTCACATTAAATTTATGCTTTGTTGTGCCATTCAAATGCCATATGTAGTGTGCATCATATGCAGTGTGCATCAATGCACACTCATATGTACATTAAATAAACAAATACAATTAGACATGGTTAAAGTTGCTACTGTTGCACTTTTGCACAGCAAAGTTGCTGTGAGAATTTATTTTGATTCGGAATATTTCCATCCAGCACATTCAATTGGGATTGTGCTTTTAATCTGTTCATTGATTCTTATTAACATATAAATACACAAGTATGTTTCTATTTCTCCGTCATTTATTCTTTTAATCTACAATTTCATTTTGTTTTAAGCCATACACATGGTGTTATGTTTTGTGTGGATTGTTTATATGCATGTAGGACATTTGGATTGATTATATTTTATAGGGATTAGTAAAGAATTTATGAGAAACAGAGTTTTGGGAAAACTGGTCTCTGCAGTGATGAGACCTTTGTATTCAAATGCATTACATTCAATCATGTCTAATTTACTGCAATTCTCTACATATTTAACACATGATAAATAAAGAGTCAACTACAAGATATTCGTTCATGAGCTTCATCTTTGGCTAGTTCTTCTCCTTGATTTCAGCATATAGATTGTCTGTATTTTGCAGCATATTTTTGGTACAATGTTGCTGGTGAAATTTACTTCCTCTTTAATTAGGCCATGCACAGGATGTATATATAACATAATATCTGATTAAATATTCAAAATTAAGTTTGTTAAAAAATTACCGATTCAAGTCCAAATATAAAGAAATACCCTGGTGAATGGGCTCCAACTGTAATTGATTTCAATATTGATGTCACGACCCCAAACCGCCCCTAGTAGTTTGGTGCCGTGATGGCCAGTAATCCGAGATTACCGAAGGCCAACTTTGTAAAATTCACACACAATCATAGTACAATTATATGGGGCTAACAAGTACGGAAGTGATTTATACAAACAGATTAGTCCATAAGAGCTGTGCATAAGTCAAATGAGATAGCAATCATAGATTAGATGGGTGACAACTCGATTACCACGAAACAAGTACCAATTACATCTTTCATATTAACAAAAGGGATTCACAAGCCGACATGAACAAAATACAAGAAGTACGGCTAGAAGCAAAATCTTCAGAATTGCCGACATCCTCACTGCCGACATAACAAATATACAAAACACATATCTTGATCAAAAGGCTTCTCAAGCCGACGTATGCAACATACAAGTATTACAAGTTGAGAAGCATAATTTTCAAGACCGCCGACGTAATTATAGGTTAGGCCGACATAATCAAAATCCAAAATAAGCTCCAGATTCACATCTAGGCGTCACCGCCTTCTTGCTCATCACCTACATATATATAGAGAGGGTGAGCTTGGACACTCAGTGAATGGTATAAATAATAAAGGGGTTAAATGAATGATTTCCGAAGTCTTTTCAAAACAATACATAGTATATCCTTGTCAAAACCATACATATCATAGCTTGTACAAAACATGAGATAATCTTGTTCATCAAACTTGATCTTACAAAACTTACTTACATACGTCAAATCTTATAACATAACCTCGGCATAACCTTGGTCCTTCAAAACTTACTTACATACTCACAAGACCCACGAGGTAAGCCGCCAGTGGCAAAACAAGACCAAGTAAGAAGGCCCGTAGCCCTTTAACACTTGGGTGCTGCGCAACTTTAGAGTCCTCCAGCACAAGGGACCTATGTTACAAGAGCCCGTAGCCCTTTAACACTTGGGTACAAATCAAGGGTACTGCGAAAGTTTAGAGTCCCCAGTACAAGGGACTTTTAAAACAATATGTGCTACGAAAGTTTAGAGTCCTCCAGCATAAGGGACTTTCCGAGAAGGTCGTTTAAACAAAGATGATACGAGATACGAAACTAAGGACAATCATTCATGCTTAACAAATATCTTTCAAGGCAAGCAAAGCAAAGTTCTTCAAAACATTGATAACATAACTTTATCAGAAATACCACTCACATAGTTCGTCAAACGTCGGGGTCAAGGCAAGTCCCAGTCCTACAAACACATGGCAAAGTCTATTGAATGCACTACTCAAAACAAGTCTAGCATGCATGCAAATGACCTCGGAATTCTCCAAAAACTAAGTCAAATTAAATCAAAACACCGTTTCTTATTTCTGGAAAACATGCTGGGCAACTACCAGGTCTAGGCCGAGGTCCCACACCTCCTTGCCGAGGTGTGGCCCCAACGGCCACATTCAAAAGCGAAGTCGGAAAAATCTGGGTTTCCCTCTTGATAAACATGAAGAACATGAGCGTGAAGAACATGAAGAACATGAAGAACATGAACATGAGGAAGATGAATGCAAAGATCAAAACTTGCTATTACGAAAGCTGAGATTTCATGCTATGAATTCAAAAACATGGACCTGGGTACCCATACTCAAGGATCTTATCAAAACAAACACAAAAACATCACAAAGACATGAGCCTTAATGCAAACATTCGGATCAAACGAGGCTTTTCCTTCAAGAACACATGAAACCCATTTTCTCTTTCTAAAACCAACTTTAAATCAATGCATGACGTGCCGAACAGGTTTGATCGTGCAATGCAGCTAGATGATCAATAAGAACAACAAGAGTAGGTTAAGATTCTAACCTCAAAACACGAATCTAACGGTTCAAGCTCCAACGATCAAGCTTGGAAGTTCACTCTCTCTCTTGCTCAAACTTCTCCTTCTTCTTCCTAGAGTTTCTCTCTCTAAAAGGCAAGATTTGATACAAAATGATATATTTCTCCCAACAGTCACTGACTTAATCCCTCTGCTGCGACACGTGGCACCGGCTGGTTGGCTCTACTCGAAAAGGTGACTGACTAATTAGACAAGACCATGACAAAGTGTATTCAACAAGCTAAACAGCAAGAGCACTCCGGTAAGTAACGACATCGGCTAACAACAAGACTCCGGCAAGCAAGTGGCAAGGACATCGGCTTGGAAGGACAACACTTGACTAAGCTGTGCCACACCTTGGCCTAGATGTGCCACACCTCGGTCTGGGTCATACCATTCCAGGAACAAAATCGCTAGTGCAAGGGTCAAGGATCTAGAACGCCTAGATATTAACATCTCGGCCTAGATGATGCGCATCTCGGCCTAGGCGACCCGCATCTCGGCCTAGATGGTGATATCTCGGCCAATATGCCAAGGTAGAGATGAGGTCAACCGATGGGGTTCCAAGATAGTTCTAAGTGGAAAAGGTTTCGAAGGTGTCTAGGCTCAAGATAACCTCGGTAACACACCAAGCAAGAACAAAGCATGCAAGCAACATTCGAGCAAAACAAGACAAGATTTGCAAATGCACATATCAAAACAAGATCATACATAAATGTATGCAAGTATGACTAAGTTGAAATGAGGGTTGTTACATCCTACCCCCCTTAAAGAAGTTTGGTCCCCAAACTAGAGTTACCTTGTTCCAAAAACAATTCTGGATGTCGGACTTTCATTTCCTCTTCCATTTCCCATGTAGCATCCTCACCGTAATGCTCCTTCCATTCAACTTTCACCATTGGTATCGATTTACTTCTCAACTGTTTCACCTGCCTATCGACAATCCGTATCGACTTCTCTTCGTAGCCTAAATCTTCATTAATTACAATTTCGAAATAGTCGATCACATATAGCGGATCTCGAATATACTTCCTCAACATCGAAACATGAAATACATTATGGACTTGGCTCAATCCTAGTGGCAAAGTAAGTCTGTAGGCAGCGAGGTTAACCTTCTCAAGAATTTCAAAAGGCCCGATGTAACGGGGTACTAACTTACCCTTCTTCCCAAATCTTGTAACTCCTTTCATCGGCGAAATCTTTAGGAACACGCGGTCCCCGACTTCAAATTCCAACTCTCTTCGTCTCTGGTCGGCATAACTCTTCTGTCGACTCTGTGCGGTTTTGATTCTTTGCTGAATGAGCTTAATCTTATCTGTTGTTACTTGAATTAACTCGGGACCGAGCAGAGTTTTGTCTCCTACCTCGGTCCAACATATCGGCGACCTACACTTCCTTCCATACAGTGCCTCATATGGCGCCATGCCAATGCTAGCTTGATAGCCATTGTTGTAGGTAAATTCCACCAAAGGCAAATGTACTCCCCAACTTCCTTGGAGGTCCAATACACATAGTCTAAGCATATCTTCAAGTGTCTGAATCGTCCTCTCTGTTTGTCCATCAGTCTGGGGATGGAAAGTTGTGCTGAACTTCAACTCGGCTCCTAAAACTCTTTGTAGGCTCTGCCAAAATCTGGAAACCAACTTCGGATCTCGGTCTGACACAATTGACATCAGCACTCCATGAAGTCTAACAATCTCATTCACATATAATAGAGCAAGCTTATCGGCGTTGAAGGTGGTCTTAACAGGTAAGAAGTGTGCTGACTTAGTTAGTCTATCCACGATAACCCAAATCGAATCCATACCCTTTTGTGTCTTCGGCAAACCAACCACAAAGTCCATAGAGATGTGCTCCCATTTCCACTCAGGAATTGGCAAAGGTTGAAGAAGTCCTGCTGGCCTTTGGTGTTCTGCTTTCACTTGCTGACAATACAGGCACTGCGACACGAACTCGGCTATCTTTCCCGTCATGTTCGGCCACCAAAACGTCTACTTCACATCCTGATACATCTTGGTGTTCCCGGGGTGAACAGCAAACTTAGAACCATGAGCTTCCTGCAAAATTTTCCTTTTCAAATC